TTATTGGCTATTTATGTTTCTTGTTTTGAGAAGATTTTGTTGTTCTTTTGACATTTATGGATTGAGTTATTTGGTTTTGTTGTTGTTGTTTTGGTGTTAATCTGTTTCAGTTCTTTCTATATTGAGGATATTTATCCTCTGTCGGAGCAGTAGCTGGCAAAGAGTTTCTCCCATTATGTATGTTTTCTCTTCACACTCTTAATCATTTTCCTTGCTGTACAGAATTATAAAACAGTTTTAAGTAATAGCACCCATAAAAATATATGGGGGTAAACCTTAAAGTAAGTATGAAGTATTATTTCTACTAAGGAACATAAACTGCAAATCTTGAGTAAATGAAAAGCATACTCTATATGTGAATATATATGTTGAATATTATAAAGATGTTAGTTACCCACAAATTCACTTTTTTCCCAGGGAAAATTATAGTGATTTTTTAAAAATGAAATGAGCTAATATGTAGCAAGAATAAATTTGAAAATAGGCAAATTATTCAAATAAGGAGTAATAGTCAATTATAGGTAGTTTGGAGAGTTACAGTTCTTACCAAAATGAGTAGAATACTGAATGTTCTTAAACTTTTTAAAGAAAGCATTTTCATTCATGATAGCTATTTTTAAAAACCATATAATACCTACAAAAAACTTAACCAAGGAAATGAATGACCTCTACAATTAAAATGACCAAAAAAGGAATAAATAGAAGAAACACACAAAATGTAATGACTTCCCATGTTCATAGATTGCAAGAATTAATGTTGTTAAAAATGTCCATACAGGACTGTGGCTATGGCTGAGCAGTAGTGCACTTGCCTTGCATGTGTGAGGCACTGGGTTAGATTCTCAGCACCACATATAAATAAATAAATAAAGGTCTATCAACAACTTAAAAAAAAATGTCCATACAACTCAAAGTGATTTACAGATTAAATAACATTCCTATCAAAATACTAATAATATTGCTTCTCAGAAATAGAAAAAACAATTCTAAAATTTATATGAAAGCACAAAAACTCCAAATAACTAAAGTAATGTTGAACAAAAGGAACAGTCAGCTAGAGGCCTTGCAAGATCTGATCTCAGGACATATTATGGAGCTGAAGTAACCAAAGCGGCATAGTACTGGCCTAAAAACTAAAACATTGATCTGTGGAATGGAATATAGAAATCTTGGAAATAAATCCAAATATCTGCAGTCAACTGATTCCAGGCAAAGGTGCAAAACAAAAAAAAAACAAAAACATAATGGAGAAAGGACAGCCTCGTTGATGAATGGTGCTGGAGAAATGGGATATCCATATGCAGAAGAATGAAATTTGACCTCTCTCATCATATTCAAAACTCAACTCATATGGCATCAAAGATCTAACTATAAGAACTGAAACTACAAAATTACATTAATATAGGCAATGATTTTTAAAATAATACCCCAAAAGTGAAGGCAACAAAAGCAAAAATAGACAAATGGTATTACATCAAATTAAGAAGCTGTTGTGTAGCAAACCAAATAATCAACGGAGTGAAGAGATAAACTACAGAATGGGAGAAAATACTTACAAACTATTAATATAACAGGAGATTAATACCTAGAATACATACAGAACTCAAAAAATGCAACAACAGGTAACAAATTAATTTTTTTTAAAAAAATGGGCAAATTATCTGAATTGATATTTTGCAAAAGAAGGAATAAAAATAGCTTGGTTATAAGTACACACACACAAAGTTCAACATTACTAGCTATCAGAGAAATGCAAATTATAATCACAATGAGATAATATCTCACCTCAGTCAGAATGACCATTACCAAAAAAAAAAAAAAAAAAAGCAAAAAATAACACGTTAGAATGTGGCAAAAGAGGAACTCTTATCTACTACTAGTAGAAATATAAATTAGTATAGCCATTGTGGTGAGCAGTGTATAGATTCCTCAGAAACCCAAAAATAGGTCTACCATGTGATGCAGTTATCCAGCTTCTGAGTGTATATTCAAAGGAAATGAAATCAGTCTATCAAAGAGATACCTGTACTCCCGTGTTTCTTGTAGTACTGTTGACAATAATGAAGACATGGAATCAATCCAAGTGTCAATCCATGAGTGAATGAATAAAGAAAATACGGTGTATGTACACAATGGAATATTATTGTTTTAGTCATCTTTCTCACTGTTGTGACCAAAAGACCTGTCAAGAATAATTAAAGAAAGAAAAGTTTATTTGGAGGCTCACAAAGTTTCAGAGGTCTTAGTCCATAGACAGTTGGCTCCATTGTTCTAGGAAGAAAATATGGCAAAACATCATGGCAGAAAAGGGTAGTGGAGAAAAGTGACTGAGGATATCATACCAGACAGCAGAGAGATATTCCCTTCACCACAAACTATACCCCCAAGTCACGCCCCCAGTGACTGGCTTACTCCAGCCACACCCAGCTTTCTTATAGTTACCATCCAGTTAATCCCTATCAGAAGATTAATGCATTATGTTAAACCTTTCATAACTCAATCATTTCACCTCTCAACTTTCTTGCATTGTCCCACATGTGAGCTTCTGGGGAACACCTAATATTTAAACCATAACAGTTATTCAGCCATAAAAAGAAAAAAATCATTGAGTTTCTTCACTTTATAAATAATATTTTCCATCAAATTTAGGAAGTTTTTAGCCATTATTTTTAAAATGATTTTCTGTTTCTTTCTTTCCTCACTTTTTGGTACTACCATTATGCATATGTTGGTGTGGTTAATGATATTCTAAGACAGTCCTTCATTCTTTATCTACGATGTTACAATAATCATCTTCTTGTATTTCCAGCATCAGTCACTGAAAAATCTAAATTTTCTCTGTTAAATGAAGTCATATTTATGTTCTGAAACATTACTTTACACACATCACTCCCAATTCGAAAGCTTCTTATAACTCTTCATTTTCTATATTGAGGTTCAGTTGTATAGATTGCCACTAATTGGCTCTTTCGTATTTCTTTGGCATTGTTTACACTAGTCCCTTAAGACTAATCGTTTAATCTAACAAAACTTACTATTCATAAAGCTGGAGTTTTAATTTCAACTTCTATTATACTTTCTTATCACCCATTTGCTTCTGGTACCTAATATTATAATTTTAATACTTATTTTGTTTAATCTATGTATTCTAAGCAGTTGAGAGTTTAGTTTTCTCTACCATTATTTAATACTCAGCATAAGGTATACCAACAGGTAGAATTGTGGTTAATGTTATTTTATGCAATATGACACTTAAGCATGTTTTAATTACTAGCACTGAATATAATCAAAGCAGGAAACCTTACCCAAAATACATTGTTGGAGTTGGAAATTGAAGTAATATACTAATTAAATACTTACGTAATTAATCTTTCCTATTGAAATTAGTTTATGATACTGATGCATTTTGATTGAAAAACAATATTTGGTGTACATTTATAAACAACTGCAGATATCCTGTTTTGTTCAATTAATGACTTGGTAATTTAGAGAAGTAGTGGATGAAAACAAATATAGAAGCTGGGGAATGGGTCCTTCTCCATTCCTATTTCATTATCAAAACCAGTAATCTGCCAACCATTTGTTCTTAAGACCACTGTTCAGATTAAGTCTCTGGCCAAAATCTATCACCTTATAAAATTTCATGATCTACATACAATGTCTGCAATTACATTTTATGTATAATACAGATACTTACCTTTTTTTTAACACAGTGAATAGTTATGATCAATTTTATATTATTGGTTGCTTGTTATACTTGACATGGGATACAAGGATTAAAAAAAAAAGAAAATTTCAGAAAACTTGCCATGGGGAAAAGAATGGCTTATTGCATGCTGATTCTTTGCCTCTTAAATTAGTTGAATAAATTATCTTGGCTTTCCATTTGGATTTGTCTGTGCCATTCTTAAACTATACTGAAAATTTAAATATACATGCATGTATAAGAGTTTCTGTATAAAAGTTGTGTCTTTCTGTATAAGAGTTATGTCTATAAATAATGTAATACAAGAATAAATCAGGGCAATTATTGAAAATAAAAAGCAAATTTAGCATTCCAAAAAATATGTCAAATTTCTCAAAATGAGGCATAAAGTAAACCAAGAGAATAATTAGATAAGTATGTTGTATGCATATGCTGCTTTTATTTTGATTCATAGATTAAATGACATAATTATTTCCATATAAGAAACTATTATTTTTGTTTTGTATAAATAAAATACATCATTTATATATTTCTAAATTATGAAATATGTGTTCTACATTTATTATCTAGTAGACTTTTCTTTACATGAATTTGATGGAAATGGGATGATTTTGAATATGTATCATATACTTTACAGTGAAAATCTTTCAGTATATGAAGGGAGTTTGCTTATATTAGAAATAGAATATTAGCTTATATTAGAAATAGAATACAACAGACACTAGTATTGCTGTATGTATAAATGTGGCTGTATAACCAGTATGATCCTGGAATCTGTACACATGGAAAAATAAGAATTCATACCCCATTTGAATCAAATGTATGATATGTCAAGATCATTATATTGTCTTGAGCAACCAATAAAAAAAATAAAATAAAAAGAAATAGAGTATTGGGCCCAGAGTACATTTTCATAGTAAGACATTTCATTTTTTGGATAAGTACATGTGTTTGTGTCTTCAGTTATAAACTTACTTTTGTAATATTCAAGCATGGTAAATTAAAATAACTTGATAAGAAACTAGTTTTATATCTGCAGAATTTTATAAAGTACAATAGTTGGATAACTTTATAAATAACTGTTGATTTTGTAGAAGTCAGTTGTTACAATCTAGAAGTTATTTACAAGTTTAATAGAAATATTAGGCTATATAGACTTCTTTATTGAATTATGATGAAGATGCAGTTATATATCATTCACTTTTCTTTATATACCATTAAGTAAAATTTTAAAATTCTTATGGTTGAATAAAGTTTAAATTACTTTTAATAAGATTCTTTTTTGTTTCCTTAGGAAAAAGTCAAAGAGAAGGAAGAAAATCTGAATCTTGTAAACCAATTCTTAAAGTAGAATACAAGACCTGCAGAAACAGGTATACATTTTTGCTTTGAGGAATATGGAAATATATATATAAGGAAAAGAGAAAAAAATGCAGATAACCTTTTATGTCAATGTATTATTTAAAGTTATACATAATTACATATATAGCAATGGGCTAAATCCTTTACATTAATAAAAAATGATGTGGTTTAGAAGGCATATCTATGATTATCATTATTATTAATCATAATAAGTATTAGTTATTTAAAAATTATGAGTATTTATGATAATTATATACATTAATTTTAATAATTGAGGACTTTTTTCATGAAAATTCCATTAACAATATTTATAATCAGAAGCTATACACATACTGATATTGTTTACAAAAGTAAACATAACCAGACCTCTGAACTTTAGGATTTTGAATTTGGAAAGATTATATAGACTGGGAAGGATAGTTACGAGTATTGCCATAATTAACAAGTATCAAATTTTAAGATGTAGAAGATAAAAGAATAATATTTAACAAAATTTGATTTTATATTTATAGCAGCTATATCCTATACTTCAGCAGTTTTTCATTTAGTTGAAATAGTCAATAGTGACAGTATTCTTACCAAATACTACCATAATTAACTTTTCTTAAACACTGTCTTAACTGTATATTAGATAATCATACTTTATATTGGATATATATGTGATCACATTAGAATTCTTATAGCATCATCAATCTATTTCATGTTTTTATACCTATTTTCAAGTATTAATAGTATAAAATCATGATATTTTACAGCAATTACTTTATTTTTAAATTTTTTTATTAGTTTTAGTTATATATGAAAATGACAGTAGAATATTCCATAACATAATTATAAAACCATAGAATTTAATTTGTTCTAATTCAGTTCCCAGTACTACCCCTTCCCTTCCCTTCCTCACACCCCTGTTCCCTTCCCTCTAGACTCTACTGATCTTTCTCTCATTTACTAATTTTTTTTTTCTTAAATTAGTGTCTTGTAGACATGAGATTTGCTGTGGTATATTCATATATGTACATAGGAAGGTTAGGTCAGATTCATTCCACTGACGTTTTCTATTCCATCCCTCCTCCCTTTCTTTCATTCCCCTTTATATAATCCTCAGATTTTACTTCTCTACTTCTCTTCTTTTTGGATTACCTTTTGCCTTTAACTTTCAGGGATTGCTATTCCACTTGCTATTTCACTTAGCATGATGGTCTCCAGTTCCATCAATTTACCAGCAAATACCATAAAGTCATAAAAAGTTAAAAATCTGAGTAATACTCCATTGTGTATATATACCCCAATCTATTGAAGGGCACTAGCCATTATGAATTGTGCTGCTATAAACATTGATGTGGCTGCATCACTGTAGTATGCTGACTTTAATTCCTTTGAATATATACCAGAGAGTGAGATAGCTGGATCGTATGGTGGTTCCATTCCTAATTTGTTGAAAAATCTCCATACCGCTTTCCCAGAGTGGTTGTATTAATGTGCAGTCCCACCAACAATGTATGAGTGTACCCTTTCCCCACATTCTTGCCAACATGTATTGTTACTAGTATTCTTTTTGAGGTTGTTCTTTTTAGATATACATGACAGTAAAGTATATTTTGACATATTATACATATATGGAGTATAAATTCCCATTCGGTGGTCATAGATGATATGGAATTACACTGGTTGTGTATTCATGTATGAACATAGGAAAGTCATGTCTGGTTCATTCTACTGTCTTTGCTATTCCTATTCTCCCTCTTTTCACTTCATTCACCTTTGTCTAACCCACTCCAATACCCTTCTTATTGTGTGTTAGCATCCACATATCAGAGTGAACATTCAACCTTAATTTTGGGGGATTGGCTTATTTCACTTAGCATGATAGTCTCCAGTTCATCCATTTACTGGCAAATGCTGTAAGTTCAGTCTTCTTTATGGCTGAGTAATATTCCAGTGTGTGTACATACCACATTTTCTCTATCCATTCATCTGTTGAAGGGCATCTAACTTAGTTATTGTGAATTGAGTGCTATAAACATTGTTGGGCTACATCACTGTAGTAAGCTGATTTTAAGTCCTTTGTATATATATTGAGGAGTGGGATAATGGGTCAAATGGTGATTGCATTCCAAGTTTTCTGAGGAATCTCCATACTGCTTTCCATAGTGGTTGCACCAATTTGCAGTCCCATCAGCAATGCATGAGTATACCTTTTTTCCCCCACATCCTCACCAACACTTATTGTTACTTTTATTCTTGATAATTGCCATTCTGACCGGAGTGAGATTGAATCTCAGTGTGGTTTTAATTTGCATTTCTCTAATTGCTAGAGACGTTAAACATTTTTTTTTCATATATTTGTGAACATTTGTATTTGTTCTTTTGAAAAGTGACTGTTTAGTTTCTTTATTGATTGGTTAATTTGTTTTTCTTGGTGTTAGATTTCTGAGCTCTTTGTATATCCTGGATATTAATGCCCTATCTGAGGAGTAAGTAGCAAAGATATACCCCCATTTTGTAGGCTGTCTCTCCATGCTCTTGATTGTTTCCATTGCTGTAAAGAAGCTTTTTAATTTGATGCCATCCCATTTATTGACTTTTAATTTTGCTTCTTAAGCTTTAGGAGTCTTGTTAAGGAAGTCAGTTCCTAAGCCAACATGTTGGTATATTGGGCCTACATTTTCTTCTAGCAGGTGCCAGGTTTCTGGTCTAATTTCTAGGTTTTTGATCCACTTTGAGATGAATTTTGTGCAGGGTAAGAGAGAGGGGGTTCAAATGCATTCTAATACATATGGATTTCCAGTTTTCCCAGTACCATTTGATACAGAGGTTATTATTTCTTTAACATATGTTTTTGGCACATTTGTGTTGTATGAGATAACTGTACTTACATGGGGTTTTCTCTGTGTCTTCTTTTCTATTCCATTGGTCTTCATGACTGCTTTGGTGCCAGTACCATGTTGTTTTTGGTACCATCTCACTGTAGTATAACTTGAAGTCCCATATTGTGATGCCTCTTGCTTTGCTTTTCTCTACAAGGATTGCTTTGACTAATCTGGGCCTCTTATTTTTCAAAATGAATTTCATGACTTCTCTTCCTATTTCTATGAAGACCATTATTGGAATTTTGATGGAAATTACATTGAATCTGTACAGTGCTTTTGGTAATATAGCCATTTTGACAATATTAATTCTGTCTATCTAAGAACGTTGGAGGTCTTTTCATCTTCTAAGTTCTTATTCAATTTCTTTCTTTAGTGTTCTGTAATTTTCATTGTAGAGGTCCTTCACCTCTTTCGTTAGATTGTTTCCAAATATTTTAGTTTTTGACAATATTGTGAATGGTATAGTTTCCCTTATTTCTTTTTCGCCAGATTCATCATTGGAGCATAGGAACATGATTGATTTATAGGTGTTGACTTTGTATTCTGCTATTTTACTGAATTCATTTAAAAGTCTAGATGTCCTCTAATGGAATTTTTTGAGTCTCCTAAATATAGGATCATGCCATCGGCAAACAGAGGTAGTTTGAGTTTTTCCTATTCATATTCCTTTAATTTCCTTCTCTTGACTAATTGCTCTGGCTAGAGTTTCAAGGACTCTGTTGAATAGCAGTGTTAAAAATTGGCATCCTTGTGTTATTCCTGTTTTTAGAAGAAATGTTTTCATTTTTTCTCCTCTCAGAATAATCTTGGGTTTGTCATATGTAGCCTTTACAATGTTAAGATAATTTCCTTCTATCACTAGTTTTTTTGTTGTTTTAAACATGAATGGGTGCTGTACTTTTGTCAAGTGCTTTTTCTGAATCTATTGAGATAATCATGTGAAGAAGTTACTTTGAATATGCATCCATATTTTTTAGACTTATCTAATGTTAGTCTGTATAAAAAATAACTGCAGTTTAATACCATTCCTTACTGAGGTATTAAAATATTCCAAATTTAATCATTGCAGATGACATAAAATACATTGAAACTGTTCTTCTCTTCTATTTTTTCTTTTTATTATTAACATTTATTGTACAGATTTGTGAGTTTCACTTTGACTTTTTCATAAATGCATATATGGTGTTTTGGTTGTGTCCACCTTTCCTTTCCCTTACTCCTCTCCCCCATCCTTTTGTCTTCTTTCTCTAATAGTCCCTCTTCTACTTCCAAGTCATTCATATATATGTGAATATAAACATATATATACAGATATAAATACACATATATACACATGTACACATACATATATCTGTGTATTATGTGTATGTATATACAATATTTTTATGAGAGAAAACCTGTGATACTCATCATTCTGTGTCTGGATTATTTTGCTTAATATGATGTCCTCCTTCCATCTATTTTCCTGGAAATGTCATGATTTCATTATTATTTATAGCTGAGTAATATTTCATTGCGTATCTATATATAGTATTCTGTAATGCCTTCGTCTGTTGATAGGTACTTAGGCTAATTCCATAATTTTGGTATTGTGAACTGTACCACAATCAAAATGGGTGTACAGGTATCCCTTTAGTGTTCTGTAATAAAGGGATACTCACTTTATTTCCTTTGAGTAAAAACCAAGAAATAGTATAGATGGATCAAGTGATGTTTCTTTTTTCTTTATTTTTTTAAGGAAATTCTCTATATATTTTTCCACAGTGTGTGTGCTAATTTATATTCCCACCAACAGTATATATAAAATGTTCCTTTATCCCTACATCCTTGCCAGCATTTATTTTTTATATATAATAATCTGGCTGATTTCATGAAATCTAGGTGTTGTGTTGATTTTCATATCCTTGATGCTTAAACATATTGAGCATTTTAAATATATTTATTGGCCATTTGAACTTCTTTTGAGAAATGTCTATTTAAATCATTTGCCCATTTTTTATTGGATTACTTCTCCTTTGTTGTTGAATTTTTTTGAGCTCTTTATGTACTCTGGATATTAAACCTCTGTCAGATGAATAACTGACAAAAGATTTTCTCCCTTTATGTGAGTTTTCTCTTTACTCTGTTAACTGTTTACTTTG